ATTGCTTGTTTTTGTCAGGTTTGTCAAAGATCAGATGGTTGTAGAAGTGTGGTGTTATTTCCGAGGCCTCATTTCTCCTCCATTGGTCTATATGTCTGTTTTGGTACCAGTACCATGCTGTTTTGGTTACTGTAGCCTTGTAATATAATTTGAAGTCAGGTAGTGTGATGCCTCCAGCTTTGTTCTTTTTGTTTAGGATTGTCTTGTTTATATGGGTCTTCTTTGATTTCATATGAAAACTAAAACAGTTTTTTTCTAATTCTGTGAAGAATGTCAATGGTAGTTTGATGGACCAGCATTGAATCTATAAATTGCTTATGGCCATTTTCATGATACTGATTCTTCCTATCCATGAGAATGGAATGTTTTTCCATTTGTTTGTGTCCTCTCTTATTTCCTTGAGCAGTGGTTTGAAGTAAAAATATTTTATTTGTATTTGTCTTCTACAAGCTGTTTTCTATTTTAAATTTTTTGTTTTAACTTTGTAAACTTTCCTGTTAAACACTAAGACACAAACACGCACATTAGCCTAGCCCTGTGAAGTCAGGATTATCAATAGGTGACAGGAACTTTTCAGCTCCACTATAATCTCACAGGACCACACTTGTATATGTGGTCTGTTGTCGACTGAAATGTATTTAACAGTACTGTGTTAACTTTCCTTCCTTCTGAAACATTCTTTCCCTTAGTTCCATGATACCATTCTCTACTGATTTTCCTCTTAGTTCTCTAGCCCTTCCTTTTTCACTTTCTTTTGGGAGCTTCATTTTCTGACCACTCCATATACATTGACACTCCTTTCTTCCTGATTGTCTTCTTATTCCAAACCAGTGGTTTTTAACAGGAAGTGATTTTGCCCCACCCTCAACCAGGGACATGTGACAACGTCTGAAGACAGTGGCTGCCACTGGTTGTCACCATGAGAGAGTTCTATTGACATCTAGCGAACAGAGGCCAGGGATACTGCTAACATGATACGATGTACAGGACAGACCTCCACAACAAAGAATTATCCAGCCCAAAACATCAATAGTGACAAGGGTGAGAAACCCTGCTTTATATACTCTTTCTGGGCAATCTTGTCCATTCCCATGGCTTCAATTACTAAGTGCTGCTATCTCAAGTCCACATTATTTTCCTTACCTCCAAACATGTATATGGGTAAGATGATGTGGAAACTGTCCACTAAAATCCATTCTTCTTTTTTCCATATTAATAGCACCCAACCACATTATATATTTTAGCCTCCTTCACAGTTGGGTGACACCATGTCTAAGATCTTACCAATTACTAACAGAAGTAATTGGTAACTCTAAGTCTTAAGAAAATAGATGTGGCCCCTACATGCCCTCTCTTTTCCCTTTATCTCCAGCTATGACCTGGATACCAGAAGAGACCAGATTGAATCACGTAAATAATAACAAAACCCTAAGAGCAATACTTCTCAAACTGTAATGCATATACATATCACTCAGTGACTCTCAGTAAAATGCAGATTCTGATTCAGTGGGTCTAGATTGAGGCCTGAGATCCTGCATTTCTAATAAGCTATCAGGTACTGCCAAGGCTGCTGCTCTACAGACTTTTGGGAGACAATTCTCTAGATGTCTCTCACATTTTTGCACCATCTTACAAGTAAGGCAATTACTGTCTTTAGTTCTGGACTATCTTTTCAAGAACGCCTATATAGTAAACAGCCTTGGAAGACAGAGATGGTGTCTCCCTCCAAAGCAAAAGGGAGGTATGCTTGCTACCCATTAAAAAGATTCAGGTTCCTTAAACTCAGGAGTCCTTTTCTATTAATATAAAGCAATCCACTGCACAATGTCCGGCAGGAAGCAGGACTGGGTAACTGATGCAAAAATGCTGATACTCTGGCTACTGCTGTAAGTAATAAACTGTCCTTCATCTCGCACCAAGGAGACTCATGTCTTCTACAAAAATCCATGAAACTTTACACGAATGGTGACTCAAGCCTGTAATCCCAGCACTTTGTGAGGCTGAAGAAGGAGAATTGCTTGAGCCCAGAAGTTCTAGACCAGCCTGGGCAACATTGTGAGATCCTGTCTCTACAAAAAAATTTAGCTGGGCATGGTGGCTTGTACCTGTAGTCCCAGCTACCCGGGAGGGTGAGGTGAGATAATCAACTGAGCCCACGAGGTTGAGGCTGCAGTGAGCCATGACTGCGCTATGGGCAACAGAGTGAAACTGTCTCAAAAAAATAAAAAACAAGAATTTTTTTTTTTAATTTTTAAAAATTAAAAAAAAAAAAACCCATGAGGCCGGGTGCAGTGGCTCACGCCCGTAATCCCA